CAGAGCATCCTGGAAACCCCAGGGTGAGAGAATGAAGACCAGCAGATCCATCTCTCCCAGCAGATCCATCACACACCTACTAGCCACAGACTGATACAGGAGATGGAGCCCCTAGCAGAGTCCAGGGAGAGCTCCCTGGTCAGAAGCCCAACACCCTCCTCCTTGTGAGGAGCTGGATATGCGAGACGGGAATCTCCCCTAAGCCTGACTGGTGGGTGCCCCTTCATATCTCACAGCAGCCGCTGGTTAGTCAGATCAGGCTTCAGCACTGGGAGTCTGGTCAGTTTTCCCAGCCCCATGTAGCTAGGTTATTTTCTGTTCAACAAATTAGGGCATTTCCACCTCTGAACCTCATGGGTCTGTTCCTAGAATCTAGGCCACTTATTAAACAACTTCCCAGCAGGTCTGCCACCCCCTGGCCTCCTCCCTTTCTCTACCCTGTGCATTTCCTTCCCCGCTCCAACCTCCAAACCAGATGGTGCAAACCTTCCCCTCTCCGGTGTATTTGCTGTCCCTCTCCTCCTGCAGGAACCCACCAGCCACCCCGCCAATAATCCCTACCTGAACTGGCTCCTCTGCCACCATTTCTCTCCCTTGTCCCATGGGAGGACAGGATGAACTGGAGCGAAACATGGACGTCATTCTGCAGCCTGGCAGGGCGAGAAGGGCAGTTGTGGAGGTTTAGGAACGGGCTTTAGTTCATTTCACAGCACGATTCTCCCAGGCTCTTTCCCTGCAGACAGACACCCTTGAGTCTGCCATGCTGAGAAAAAGTTTGTTCTCTTTGTTACAGTGTAGACCCGGCTCCTCCTGCCAGGCTAAGCCCACAGAGACATTTTTAACCTCCCTTCTCCCTCCCCCCACCCCGTAACAAAGTCTCTGAACACAATGCTAGAAAAAAGCAGAATTAAAGGATTCACTGTGGGGGATTCCCTCGGACACTGACCCCAGGGCAGCCACACCCCAGCAGGAGGGATATGGGGTCAGGAACTGGGTTTTCCTCTGTCTGATCCTCATCTTTTCCACAGGGAAGTGATTCTACCCATGGTGAAGTAATACATCTGTCTGGGCAGATCAGAGATCTGGAAAATGCTCTTGAAACTCTTCTCTCCCACGGCCCCTTTCAGTCTCTTTCTCCTATCTCCTTTTCCCTGTCCCCGTCTCCTTGCCCATTTGGTCGGAAAGTCCCATTCCCGGGTTGTTTGCTCCCCATGGCTGGATTTACCCCTGCAATTGCTAATAGGATGAGAAATGGGGGAGAGGGGTGGTCTGTTTGTGTAGAGTCATTTTAAGGCCAGACCCCAGTATTTTCCCTTCATTTCTTTCAGTTACCTGGAGTCTCTGGCTCAGAATTTAGTATTAACTGGGCTCAGGGCTGCCCTAGGGGGCTAGTACCAGCTGGAGAAAGTCATCACCTGGGCTCGGCAGAGAAGAAGCTTTAATTAAGGTCACTTCCCAGCACAGAACCCCTGGTGGGGGAGCAGCAGCTGCTCAGCCTGGTCTCCCAGATCACAATGGAAGCTGCAGCGTCTGACCCAGGAAGCTGAACCCCAATATCCTGAGCGGAGAGGGACAGAGCCTTTGAGCAGCCTTCCCTCCCTTAGCTCCCTAGGGAGAGCAGCTAATGAGAGCCTCTCCTCACAGGGAGAATTGCTAATCTCATTTGCCCCACTGTTCTTCTGGAGTCCCTCCTTGTTTTTCCATGCAGTGACTCTGGAGTAACAACGGTCTCAATGAAACCAGATTTCATAAAGAATGAGTCCAGAATGCTGTGGAAGAGATCATTGTGTGGCAATGCTAACCCTCCTCTCACCTCCCTCCCCCCCCAAAAATCTTGGACTAGGTCGGCGGGAAAGGGGGAGATGAATTTTCCCAACAGAACCAAAAGTTCCTGCAGTTTTCGAAAGAGGAGAAAAGCAAAATCTGTTATTTCACACACACTGTTTGATAAGTGGATAGAAAATTATCACGGTGACTGGGTGTGGCTGTGGGATGCCTGGCAGTGCTTGGAGCCAGGATTCTGGCACAAGTTCATCAGAGAGAAGGAGCATGGTTAGTAGCAGTCCCCAGAGCCCACAGCCAGGGGCCCCAGACACCCTCCAGCCAGGGTCCCACCAGATATTCCCTGGGGCGCAGCCCCCAGATACCCCAGCCAGGGACCCCAGATACCCCTCAGAGCCCCACCAGCCAGGGAATCCCCACCAGAGCATGACTGCCAGGTTGGGAATCCCAAAGGGTTCCCCCCACCAAGATCCCCCAGCAGCCAGGGACCCCCCCAAAGGGGACTCCTCACTGGGAACTCAGTCCCTCACTGCCTTCCTGGGATTCTCCCACTACCTGCCTAGGACCGCCACCTGCCCTCCAGTAGGATCTGCCATGCCATTTGCCTGGGGCCCCCTCCTCCCCCCAGTGGGGCCCCCTGATGCTTTACAGTGGAACCCCTCACTCTGCTTGCCTGGCATCCCTGACGTAGTTCCGGGGATTCCCCCCCCCATGCACTGGGCATGGCAACGATCCCAGGAGCCAGCAGGGGCGGTCCAGACAGCGCCTCTGGCGCAGCACCAGGCACCCTCTAACTCCCTGCCCCGCCTCCCCAAGAGACGCCCACCCCCACTGTTCTGCAGCCACCAGGCCCCCGGCGATACCCACCTCCAGGACCCATAGCCTTAGGGCTGGGCACATCAGAACCATCCCCTGAAACCCCAAACCCTCCAGAACCCACCAACCTGACTAGGGTCCCCCCTGCCCAGCCACCCAGAGGCCTCCCCCTACCACAATGACCCTTCAGCTCCCGCTGCAATCTCCCCACACAGACACCTGGCCCCCCAGCAACAATGTTCCCTCAAAGTGTCTGGTAAGTGGATAGAAAGTTATCACTGCCCCCTGCTGGCCAGTCACACAGGCAGGGGGAGCTTGGGGGATGCCCCTTGAACAGGAGAATGGAAGGCCCCGAGGGCCAAAATAGGTAAGAAATTTCACTAGCAAGTAATGGCCACCATGGATCCACCCCAGAGGTGGCTACATCTTTGCACTGCAGGAATCAACCCCTCAAGGAGACCCTTTGTCATGGGGTTTGGGATACTTCTGGACCCACGCTGCACTCAGAGGGACCTCCTCATCCCGTGCCAGCTGGAGAAAAGAAAAGGGTCCAGCCAACTCTCCTGTTACCAGGTGGGGGCCACTGATCCCCAGTCAGGGGGAGGCCTCTGGCTTTGATGTGTATTAAGTATGTGGCTGGTCTCTTTCATCGGCAAACATTTTAAGAGAGATAAAGGGGGGAAGAAATGATTCTCAAAGGAGAGGGGAAAGATGATCACTGGGAAATTTAACCCCCTGCAACCTCCAGGATGGAGAAGGACTCAGGGCAACAGGTTCCCTCCAAGGAAGAAGTTGTTGCTGGGATTTAGAAATATGGGGAACTGCCCCAGAAACAAAAGGATTTTTAATTGACATTTCATAATGATGTAGAAAGAGGGAAATCCTGAGAATTGAGATCAGTGTTCAGAAATGAAAGAGAAAGGGTGGAAATCTGAGGGATTTTGGATCCATTTATGCAAATTAGAGAGAGGAAAGTGGAAAATGAGAGGGATTTTATAGCAGTCGTTGACAGGAGGTAAAATCTGAGTGTATTTCACATCACTATTTGATAAATGAATGGAGCGGAAATGGGCAACATTGGCAAACATTTTATATCCATATTCAAGAGTCTGAGAAAAGGTGTAAATCCGATTTTTTTTTTTTAGTATCTTATAATTAGAGAGAGAGGGAAAAATCTCAGGGCATATTCACTTAGAAATAGACAAGCAGAGAGAAAGTGAGGCAAATGTTTAGGTTATTTTACATCAATCTTTGAGGGTTGCAGAGAATGTGTGTCACAAACTTTGCAATGGATAACATGAGAGAAAAACGCCAAGGTCGGAGGGGATTTTTATGTATTATAGGAGGAGCGGGAAAGGGGGACTGGTTGGCTAGATTTTCAGTGACTGTCCAATACATAAACAGAGAGTGATGGTCCCCCCCCCCACGGCCCCCGTTCACCTGGGCAGCAGGGAGCCCTCTGAGGGGCTGACTGGAGGGGGCGGGGGGGGAGCTGGAGGGCTCCCTGGGGGAGGGGAGGGGGCGGTAGTGGGGGATGGGCAGGTGGGGGGGCAGGTGGGGGCTGGGGGCAACGGTGCTGCAGTTGGGGGGCAGCAAGTGGGACTGGGAAGCCGGGATCGGGGGCAGCCCCATGGGGGACACGGCCCCTCCCTTCCCCGCCCCGGCAGAGACCCGGCGTCTCCTCCCACCCCCACGCCGGGGCAGCCAGGTTGGGGGATGGCTCCGGGCTCCAACTTCCCACCGACACCGGGACAAATCGCTGCCGATAAAACGGGGGGGGGGGGGGGGAAATCCCGCCCCCCCCCACGGGAGGGGAGTTTCAATGGACATGTGAGGAGGAGGGAGAGACGGGGGGGGGGGGGGATCAGGGGAGACGAGAGAGCGGATCAATGGGGGGGTGGGGGGGAGTTTACAACCACGTGGGAGCTACCGAGAGGGAAAAGGGGAAAACTGGGGGGCATTTGTGCCCGTGGGGGGGGAAGGGGATCCAATGAACTCCCCCGCCGCCCCCCACTTCCCCCCCGGGAATTTCCTGGCTGCACAGAGACAGTTCAACCCCCCCCCCGCAACTCCGGCTTCTCCCCCCAACACCCCCCAAGGGACCCCGCCCGCCGGGCCCCAGTCTCTGCCCCCCCAATCCCAGCCGTGCCGGGGGCAGAGAGTCACTTTCCTGCCCCCCCCGCGGGGTCTCCCACTCACCGGGGCGGGGGCGGGCAGAGCCCGGGGGGCGGGTCCCGGCTGCAGAAAGCCCCCCCCGGCCGGGCACGGGGGGGTCAATGACGGGCCCCCCCAGCACAGACCCCAGGGGGGAGCCGCGGCTGCTCAGCCCGGGCTCCCGCCTCACGCGGGGGCAGCAACGGAAGTGACGTTGGGGGGGGGAAAAGGGTCTCAGGCTCTGGGCATGCGCAGACCGGCGGATGGGCCAGAGAGCGCAGGAGCGGCCCGCGGGGCGAGCGACTCTTCCTGACTCTCCCGGCAGCGGAAGTGACGTAGGGGGAGCCCGGCTGCGAAGGCGCGCGCGGCTCGTGCGGGGCCGTTGGAGGGTTTTGTGGCTGCCGGCTCTGGGCATGCGCAGAGCGGGGGCGGCGGCGGCGGCGGCGCTGCAGCCTCCAGGTACCGGGGCGGGGGGAGACCTGAGGGAAGGGGGGGGAAAATGGCGCAGCCCCGGGACGTGGCCGGGGAGGGGGGCTGAGATCCCTCCCCCGGGACCCCCCCCCGCTCCCGCCCTGCCCCCTTTCTGTCCCCCCCCCCACACACACCCTCGCTGAGCTGGGAACCGAACCCGCGTGCTTCGAGTCCTTGCCTCGCCCCTTGACCCCTTGCAAGCCCAGCTTCTGCGTGCACATGGTGGCCTGGAGTGTTTGCACCCCGTGGGCCTTGCACGGCAGGCCGTGGCGTTTCCTTCATGGCAGGGGCTTTTCCAGGCCAGCGCAGACATGCACCTGCCTGGGAATGTCTAGGGAGGCTTGGGCAGGCGACCCCTCAAGATCCCCTTCCGGGCCTGCACCGAAACAACTCACTTCGGTCCTGTGCCGGGTTCTCCGCTCAGCTGCTTCGCAGGGTGCCCTTTGGATCGGGGATCGCACCCTGTTGCGTTGCGCTTTTATGGAGCGTTGCTTTCCCTCCGCTTGCCGGTGTTGTGTTGGGTTTGGGCTGAATGAAGGGGGCTGTAGCTCGCGAAAGCTCGTGCTCGAATAAATGGGCTGGTCTCTGAGGTGCCACAAGTCCTCCTGTTCTCTTTTCCACTGTGTACTTTTGTCCTAGGTACATCCGATGAAGCGGGCTGTAGCTCACGAAAGCTCATGCTCAAATAAATTGGTTCGTCTCTAAGGTGCCACAAGTCCTCCTGTTCTCTTTTCCACTGTGTACTTTTGTCCTAGGTACATCTTTTGTCCTAGGTACTTTTGTCCTAGATACATCCGATGAAGCGGGCTGTAGCTCACGAAAGCTCGTGCTCGAATAAATGGGCTGGTCTCTGAGGTGCCACAAGTCCTCCTGTTCTCTTTTCCACTGTGTACTTTTGTCCTAGGTACATCTTTTGTCCTAGGTACTTTTGTCCTAGGTACATCCGATGAAGCGGGCTGTAGCTCACGAAAGCTCATGCTCAAATAAATTGGTTCGTCTCTAAGGTGCCACAAGTCCTCCTGTTCTCTTTTCCACTGTGTACTTTTGTCCTAGGTACATCTTTTGTCCTAGGTACTTTTGTCCTAGATACATCCGATGAAGCGGGCTGTAGCTCACGAAAGCTCGTGCTCGAATAAATGGGCTGGTCTCTGAGGTGCCACAAGTCCTCCTGTTCTCTTTTCCACTGTGTACTTTTGTCCTAGGTACATCTTTTGTCCTAGATACATCCGATGAAGCGGGCTGTAGCTCACGAAAGCTCATGCTCAAATAAATTGGTTCGTCTCTAAGGTGCCACAAGTCCTCCTGTTCTCTTTTCCACTGTGTACTTTTGTCCTAGGTACATCTTTTGTCCTAGGTACTTTTGTCCTAGATACATCCGATGAAGCGGGCTGTAGCTCACGAAAGCTCGTGCTCGAATAAATGGGCTGGTCTCTGAGGTGCCACAAGTCCTCCTGTTCTCTTTTCCACTGTGTACTTTTGTCCTAGGTACATCTTTTGTCCTAGGTACTTTTGTCCTAGATACATCCGATGAAGCGGGCTGTAGCTCACGAAAGCTCGTGCTCGAATAAATGGGCTGGTCTCTGAGGTGCCACAAGTCCTCCTGTTCTCTTTTCCACTGTGTACTTTTGTCCTAGGTACATCTTTTGTCCTAGGTACTTTTGTCCTAGGTACATCCGATGAAGCGGGCTGTAGCTCACGAAAGCTCATGCTCAAATAAATTGGTTCGTCTCTAAGGTGCCACAAGTCCTCCTGTTCTCTTTTCCACTGTGTACTTTTGTCCTAGGTACATCTTTTGTCCTAGGTACTTTTGTCCTAGATACATCCGATGAAGCGGGCTGTAGCTCACGAAAGCTCATGCTCAAATAAATTGGTTCGTCTCTAAGGTGCCACAAGTCCTCCTGTTCTCTTTTCCACTGTGTACTTTTGTCCTAGGTACATCTTTTGTCCTAGGTACTTTTGTCCTAGATACATCCGATGAAGCGGGCTGTAGCTCACGAAAGCTCGTGCTCGAATAAATGGGCTGGTCTCTGAGGTGCAACAAGTCCTCCTGTTCTCTTTTCCACTGTGTACTTTTGTCCTAGGTACATCTTTTGTCCTTGGTACTTTTGTCCTAGATACATCCGATGAAGCGGGCTGTAGCTCACGAAAGCTCGTGCTCGAATAAATGGGCTGGTCTCTGAGGTGCCACAAGTCCTCCTGTTCTCTTTTCCACTGTGTACTTTTGTCCTAGGTACATCTTTTGTCCTAGGTACTTTTGTCCTAGATACATCCGATGAAGCGGGCTGTAGCTCACGAAAGCTCATGCTCAAATAAATTGGTTCGTCTCTAAGGTGCCACAAGTCCTCCTTTTCTCTTTTCCACTGTGTACTTTTGTCCTAGGTACATCTTTTGTCCTAGGTACTTTTGTCCTAGATACATCCGATGAAGCGGGCTGTAGCTCACGAAAGCTCATGCTCAAATAAATTGGTTCGTCTCTAAGGTGCCACAAGTCCTCCTTTTCTTTTTGCGAATACAGACTAACACGGCTGTTCCTCTGAAACCTGCAATTTTGTCCTAGGGTGTCTCAGTTTGCCTCGTGTTGCTTTCTTTTCCTTTGTATTGTCGTTTCACACTGTGGCGTGTAGGTTGTGTGTTTTTGTTTTATGGTTTGTTTGGTTTTTTTTTTTTTCTGAATTGCCTGATCATATGTGGTGGTGGGTTTTACTCTGTAGGTTGTGTTTTTTACCTATATATTGCATCACATCATAGAAATGTAGGGCTGAAAAAGACCTCAAGATGTCATCAAGTCCAGCTCTCTCTGCCGAGGCAGGACCAAGTATACGTAGATGATCTGTAGTAGAGTTTTGTCCTGCATGTTATTAAAAACTTCCAGGGAAAGAGACTTGGCAGCCGCCCTGTTAAGACTATTCCAGAGCTCACCTACCTTAGCTCTGGGGACACCCACACAGATTTTAGTGGTGAGCGGCTCTGTTGAGCAGGAGTCCCCAGTGAGTGGGCAGCTGGGTAAAGAGACTAAAGTTGGGAGGAGAAACTTTGATGTGCCCAAGGTCACCCAGTCTGTCTGTGACAGAGCTAGAAATAGATCCCAGGTCTAGGGCCACTGTACTGCTGTTTTGGGTACCGAAGGTCTCTGTCACACTAGTGTTTTAGAGGGGTAGCCGTGTTAGTCTGTGTCAGCAAAAACAATGAGGAGTCCTTGTGGCACCTTAGAGACTAATACATGTATTTGGGCATAAGCTTTCATGGGTTAAAACCCACTTCATCAGATGCATGGAGTGGAAAATACAGTAGGCCGAATATATATACACAGTACATGAAAACCTGGGAGTTGCCTCACCAAGTGGTGGGTCAGTTCTAACGAGGCCATTCAAAGTGGAAGTGGGTTATCATCAGCAGGAGGAAAAATCACTTTTGTATTGGTAATCAGGGTAGCCAATTTCAAACAGTTGACAAGAAGGTGTGAGTAACAGTAGGGGAAATTAGTTTTTAGTTTTTTGTAGTGACCCATCCACTCCCAGACTTTATTCAGGCCTAATTTGATGGTGTCGAGTTTGCAAATTAATTCCAGTTCTGCAGTTTCTCGTTGGAGTCGGTTTTGAAGTTTTTTTTTGTTGAAGAATTGCGAGTTTTAAGTCTGTTGTTGAGCGTCCAGGGAGTCTGAAGTGTTTGCCGACTGGTTTTTGAATGTTATAATTCTTGACATCTGATTTTCGTCCATTTATTCTTTTGCATAGAGACTGTCCGGTTTGGCCAATATACATGGCAGAGGGACATTGCTGGCACATGATGGCATATATCACATTTGTTTTAGGCACTGGTGCAAAACCTTAGTATAGACAGAATTTACACTAGTGCTCTCTGATTGGCACTGATGCACCCTGTCCCTGTTTGAAGGCTTCTGGGGACAGTGACCCTCACTGAGACCTGGGGCTGGCTGAACAGTGGAGCTGGTAACGGAGGGGCAGCAGTGAGTGCTGGAGGTATGAGCCAGGAGCACAGCCCCACAGGAGTGCGCACTGACTTCTCCTGACCCAGGACACCCACCCCCAGCTGTGTGCAGGGACTGCAGCTGAGCTTCCCAGCCAAGACAGCCTAGGCATCCCTGGACAAACCAACTCTTTCTGCAGCCTAATACAATAGGGTCTGGGGACCTTTCCAAACTGTGGGTGACGGGGCTCTGGAGTTAGCGGGGTCTGTTCCTGGCTCGGTCACTGACCTGCTTGGTGACCTTGGGGAACTCACAACCCCTCTCTCTTTTACTCCTACCCATTGTCTACTTGGAATGTGATTTCTTTGGGGCAAGGACTGTCCCTCTCTGTCTGTGCAGTGCCCAGCACAATGGGTGTGCTGATCTCAATCAGGTTCTCTGCCATGCGCAGCACAAGGGGGCCCTGATCTCCATCAGTGTCTGTGCAACACAAGGCACAGTTTATGGACTCACAGGCTTTAAGGCCAGAAGGGACCATCATGGTCATCTAGTCTGACCTCCTGCACATCGCAGGCCACAGAACCTCACTCACCCACTTCTGTAATAGACCCTGAACCTTGGGCTCAGTTAATGAAGTCCTCAAATCATTATTTAAAGACTTCAAGTTACAAAAAAATCCACCATTTACATGAGTTTAAACCTGCAAATGACCCATGCCATACCCCATGCTGCAGAGGAATGCAAAACAAAAAAAACCAGGGTCTCTGCCAATCTGAGTCTGGGCAAAATTCCTTCCCATCCCCAAATATGGCGATCAATTAGACCCTGAGGATGTGGGCAAGACCCAGTGGCCAGACACCTGGGAATGAATTCTCTGTAGTAACTCAGAGCTCTCCCCATCTAGTGTCCCATCACCAGCCGTTGGAGATATTTGCTGCTAGCAGTTGCAGATCAACTACATGCCATTGTAGGCAGTCCCATCCATCCTACCAATCCCTCCAGAAAGGTATCAAACTCAGTCTTGAAGCCAGTTCGGTTTTTTTCCCCCACTGCTTCCCTT